ATTATATTTTAATATTATGTTGTCTTTTCGAACACGAGTCGACGGCGGTGCGCTTTGGTGCGAAAAACCGACGTTACTATATTATTCGCGTATAGCGTGGCGACGGCTGACCGCGTTCGTCACTGCTCCCACTCCGACCGAACGAGTGTGTCGTCCAATGTTCGGCCCGCGCGTCTCCTCTCACACCACCACAAAAGTTTTAAAAGTGTCACGCTTAGAGTAATATTTACTCTATGGCCTATGCGCTGCAGTTCCGCGCACGCCGCCATCAACACACACACGCACACGATATTATTATTAACATTGTACGCCATATATCCGTTGTCGTTCGGCCGTTCATTTGCAAAACTCCACGACCAACGGTTGAAACAATATTTCGTTTCGACGTCCGATCTAGTGTCACACTTGCCGYGACCTTTGCAGACCACCGGCACCACGCCCATTAGCCGTCGATTATTACGAATCCCACGAATTTCAAAATAATGTTGCGTCTCTGTTTTACTGTGCCCGTCATACAATCCGTTTGGTAGACGGTGCGGTTGAGGTTTTTACCGCCGTTAGCCACTAACCATAATAATTACAACTGGCCGCGCGTCAGTAAAATGGGTTCGTAGTGCCAAGTCCTGTGGCCGACGAATAACGACTGCAGCGATCGTATACCRCGGATACCAACGATCTGCACTGCACGTCGAAACATAAATCATAAATTCAGACGACGGCCGTTCCGGTCCGAACACCACCGTTGACCCCGGTCGCTTTCCGCCGAGAATCCCGGGTACGTCTAAACCGGAACTACGCAGACGCGTACAGATCAGTAGATCACTGAGCTTCGCCGCCACCGGTGGACGATTTTTTTCACCGACCACCGTCCGCAGCCGATGACCATGTGCAGGCCGGCCGGTCCTGTGACCTTGCAGTGTTTGTTCGTGTTGTTCACGGCGATGGCAGCGGCCGGCGTCTCGCGACACCCGGTGGTCGTGGTCATGTCGTTCGACGGTTTCCGGCCCGATTACATCCGGCCCGACGTGACGCCGCACATGGCCCAATTCCGGGACGCGTCGGCCGCGCCACCGTACATGCGCAGTGCGTTCCCMACGAAGACGTTCGTCAACCACTTCACCATTGCCACCGGAATGTACTCCGAGACGCACGGAGTGTTCGACAATTCCATGTTTGACGGGCACAACGAGACGATGCACTACACGTACGAGCAGTTCCACTACGACGATTCGGTGGTGCCTATCTGGGTAAGGTCCCATATTGTCCACGATACGCAATAAGTTTTTCTTATATCAATGCTATAAGGGAATTTTCCACACGCCAAGTAGCGTTCTCGGGGGGGGGGTGTTATATTCCCTCTCCCCCTTTGTCTTTTGTTGGCTAACCTACAGAAAACAAATTAATAGTTATCTGATTTAGAGTCATTATACTTAATACTTTTTATTAGTTATTTGCAAAATGTTATTACTTATGACTTAYGAGTCATGACAATAAACATTCACTATATACAGAGTTCAGGTTATAATATAATATATTCATAATCTGCGATAGTCTGTATACACTATACAATTATTTGTACTCGCAGATTACATACACAAGCTATGGGGTATCAACTATCAATGCAATAATTGTGTGTTATCGCTTACCAGTTATCAGCTGCATTAAACTGTAGTCCAAAAGCCAAAAAACTTAATGAAATTATTAA